CCCCGCGTTTCATGGAACCTGAAAACTAATTTCTCCAATCGGAAGATTCCACCACTGGTTCCTGCCCTAAGCCAGACGAATCCGCCCAAAACCCTCATGTCCAGTTTATTTTAGAACCGTTTTAATATTATCATGACATGATGTTCTACGTGGTTCCTTCCGTTCAGGAATTGTCTAATTACGAGAAAAGGGCTACTTTACAAAGCTGTATAATCACAAAATGACATATTTTGTAGTCGATATAAGGTCCCAGCGGTGTGTCATCAGTATATCTGTGAGTATGTTGTCGTGTGACGAAGAATTCTGCTCTGCCACGCCCAAGGCTTACACTGGGGCCCACCCAATTACCGCGTGTTCTTTTCAATGTGATGTCAAGGTTAAGAACATATGACGAAGTTTACGATGTGGTGCTTAAGAGGTCTGTAATTTTATATTGATTGTTTCAAACATGGTTCTGTGCACAAAGCAACAAGTTAGGTACTGGATTACGTATTAATAAAATCGAGCCGAACTGAGATTGGCTGTCTTATGGGTTGTAGCGCCGTGTAGTCTGGTGGAAGTTTACAGAACTTTGATGATAAAGGCAGCAGGGACCTCTGAAACGCTGGTAAACTTCTAGCAGACGGTGCCACAATCCTTTAGACAGCCATATTTGTACTCACCGTCGTTGGAACGTCAACGCCTACGTTTTGTGAAGTCACGTGGTAATTGCACGTATGTAATAGAACACGTAGCCATCTAGCGGTGCCGCTAAGAACCTGAGAGCGCAACGAAACATCAAACATGGTTTTTGTACAATGAAGATTGGTTTTCTTGTCGGGCGATAATGCCTGTGTATTCGTTAATGAGTTTTACGTAATAAGATAGCGGTCATTAAACTTCGTATGAAGGTCATTCCACCTCTGCGTATTTTAATTTACTACAGTCGGCACTCAGAACATGGCTGCCGTGCGGATTTTGTAAATGTGTGAAATAGGTTACAGTTTAATATGATATTGCCCTCGCACAGCATTGTGGGATCAAAACGTAAGTGTAAAAGTTTCAAGGTTACGCCACTAGATGGGGGAGTGGAGATTGTGGATAGGTTGCGCGGTGGTTTGTGCGCAGCTGAAGTTGGCTTCACACTCCGTTGACATTTTATTTTGAAGCATAACGTTCCGACGATACTTGTTTTTGGCAATATAATTGCCTTGTATTTATGATTTTATGTTAATTTGCTTCAATCTTCCACTGTCGCTATCCCGCATTCACTTTGATCTCACAGAAAACGGATTAACCGAACGCTCCGGTTTCGAGGAAAATATTTCATCAGTATCTTCTTACACGTCTACACGTTTTACTGCCAAGAATACGAACATCGTTGGTCTACATATTTGCAGGTATTTGTTTCATTAATGATTCTAACTGGCGCACTGATGTTTCAGATCACGTACGTATCGTGAGCTAATGTAACAAGTTCTTGTTGGACAAAGTTGTTCTAAATTCAAGATTTGCGATGAGACGAATCTTTCATTCAGGTTATTTTAATTGATCATTGGTCGAGACGTTCGCGTCGCATTTAAAATAACTTTGTGTAACAAGAAGTTGTTAGATACGCTACATAATGATATTTACGTGATTACATGCGATAGTACACCAGTCAGAATCATAAACATAACAGCAGGTACCTGCAAATATGTGGGCTGACGATGGTCTCTTTTTTTTTGTATTCAGCTCAGAAATAACGCATTTAATATTGGAATTATAGGGGACTTCTGAATGTTGACAGGATATTTGACAGCTTTCATGAAGGATTAGGAGTCGGAGTCGGAGGTTTTAGTACCGACTCTACAGCCCTGATGGGTACCTGTTGGGTTATTGCGCCGTGTAATCTGATGATGGAGACAGCAAGTTTCCAGGAAATTTTTACCAGACTGCATAGCGTAACAACCCACCAGACATCCGTCTTTATATTTGCTGCCGTGAGAAACTGAAATCTAATGTGTCGTTGGATTGTAGACCAGATTGGTGTGAATAACATCGTTACAAAATATTTGTAAGCTTAGAAATTTGTGTAATGCATATGTTGGTTTTGTAATTTCTGCCCCGAACTACATGTTTTCGGATAAAATGGAGCATATCTACTCACCCATCACATAAATAATAGCCTTGTTATTCGTTTCCATAAAATTATTTGAATTAATCGCCGTGCTCATGGGAACTAAAGTCTGTATTTTGTTACAGCCTGAAGCCTGTCGGTAAATTGCCACCGCCTACAGTGGCCGGAGCTGGAGGCACCGTCATAGTCAGAACCAACCCCGCGCCTCCTTCCGATGCTACCAACCGAGTCTCTGTAATCAGCAACCAGGCCTCGTCACTTCGGCCGGCATCCATTACCATGAACGGGACGGGGGATTCCATCAGGTCAGTGTCAGCTGTTCTGTGCAATTGATTTAACTCCTGTACTCAGCGACACGGACACGGACGACTGAGTTTCGGGTGCTTCCGCGGGTCTCCAGTCACGTGATCTGGTCAGCCAATAACCTTCAGTCACTTGCTGTCCGCCTGCTCAGGTGTGTCTGGCATGCAAAAAGTATTCAGTTGATTCAAGCGTGAAGCACTACTCGGTTTCCATGGTTGAGGTTTTCTACGTTTTTCCTCAGTTGTAAATTCCAGGGTATTTCTTGTTCAAGAACGTAACATCTGCGGTTGGTAATAGGATTGCTGAGATTACTTGAGAGGATTTGTGCGCCAGATAACTAGAATTGTCTTTAAAATTGGTGTGTTAAATGACCCTGTTACTAAGCACCCTGTCATGAAACCAGTGTCGGTGGCCAACGTGAGCGAAATATTAACTCCACATTGTTTCTTCCAGAAACACGCAGCCTCCGACGTCATACCATGGCGAAAACGCTGGTGACATTTCTGGGCTTCAAGAAGGGCACTACGATGCTGTTAAGGTAAGCAGAAGCTTGTTATTTGCTGTGATGTGTGTGCGCGCGCAGCGCAGAGCAGGCACGTGGATTGGTTACATACGATTTCCCACCCCAAACCATGCCATAACGATCACTGAAGACGTGTAGTCTTCGTAGTACCGGCATTGTTCGGTAGATGTCGCGTACGTAATGCGTAATTCCACCAGTAGGTGTCATGCGGATATGTTACTTTCTGCATAGACTGTGCTGCCATATTTGATATTTCGAATACAGGAAGTGAGAAGAGAACGTATTTAATTGAAACGGGGTACATATTATGTTTTTGGTTATGAAGTCAAGGTGGGCGGGTTGTCTTAAACGAACGCGGAGATATTCGTACAAAAGTCTCTTCGGAAAACCGGAAGGGAGTAGTCCATTTTGGGGAGAACGTGGAGTACATTGGAGGGTATATGGATGTTAAAGAAACATTAATTCACTACTCTCGCTTGCCTAATTTCCGTTGTATAGGTTCTAAGAATGTCATCATTTTTATTCTAATATTTTTTCAGTTATTAAGTGTGGTTAATTGATAGTCTAACACTGATAATCGATACCTCGAATTCTAATACAATGGACGTGACCATTCCTATATGCATTCATGCACACTGCACTGAATGCACAGAAACTCTACGTGTAGTTGAATTTTGTGATCACCTGATAAGGTTATAGTACTCCACCATTATAGAAGGTCTCACTACATGCCAGTGCTGTTATCAACTTTAGACGTTACATTGCACCAAAAGTGATTAACATTAAGTAGACGTAAATTTGGAAAGCAATGGTTATGAACTATTTTAAGATAAGGTACCACGTTTTCCTGCAACAACAGATAAATCCCGCGGAAAATCTGTTAGGGTAGCCGAAAGCTGAATTTCGTACAGGGGACCTCCCAAATACGACGTACAATGAATGAGGGAACCTAACCTAAACGTGAATTTTACAGTCAAGGAGAGAAGAATCAATTCAGGAAATGCGTTTTACTGTTGTGAGTAATGTATTCACTTACTTTTATGATTAATGGACTGGTAAAACAGCAATGGTGTTTTCAAGGACCAGTCCCCACATCCTACTTTGTGCAATGGAAGTAGTAGTGTATAAATTTAATTACAAGCAACGCACCCAAATATGTTCCTTTTCGGTATAAAAGTAAAGCACTTTTGTGTAACATTAAATTCGATTGGATATTACAATCGCCCACACTGTACGTTCACATTTTAAATTGTTCCGTAATGCCTACGAAATAAGTCTGTTGCGCCTTGTAGTCTGGTAGATATTGACCGACGTTTCAGGGTCGCTCACTGTTTCCGTCATATGAAACGTTGCTCGGTGTATGCCAGTCTGTGTGATACAAAATCACGGAAGACAGCCATCTTTGTTTAATAGTGAAGGGAATTCGTCTTGCACGAGATATCGCGAGACTGACGTCACAGGTTTCGAGAGGCTCGAGAATATCCCGAGAGTAGAAATGTGTTGTTGTTGCTGCATTCTGTGGGTACGTTTAGGAACTGTTTGCCGGTTCATTTGTTTATCGGAAACTGCTCGTTTAGACAACAGCGTAAATTCAGAGAGCCTTGACTTTATATTGAAAACTGGTAATAGAAATGTAATGTATAGCTGCCATTTTTAAAAAATAGACCGATTATTAAAAATTATATCTTACTCAGGATACTTTATTTTATAATTGTACATGTGACATGATCTCACTGTTCGTACAAACGTTAATCTCTGGATATCGCTCAGAAATCAAACCGATCTCGAGAGTATCGATTATAATCGCTCGTCAGTACTGTCTAAAAGCGTGTTTGGACCTCGGAGGCATGAAGAAAGTGGGGAACTGAGCATATTATGTAGTAAGGTAGTTTGAGATTTATATTTTTCTTTAAAATTCACTTAAGAGGAAGAACTTTTTGAGAATTTCGAATAGATTCAGCTTAAACCATTCTGATTAATTTTAGACTATCTGTCTCATTCTTCGTTCTACTTATGACTGCATAACCTGGTTTCGCCCCGGTCCTTTGTTTGATTTTGTCCTGCGTTTTACACTTTGTGATTCTTTGCTTCAGTCTGAATGTTATTACTAACTTTCCATACTTCAAGTTATTGGCGTACTTCTCCCAAAGTCTGTAATTGTGAGTTAGTTATTTCTCATTGCGAAACCAATATTAATTCGTGAGAGTTGAACTAGTTATGCAAATCAATTGCTGGCTTCCTGTTTCTCAACTGTTAACTTATACGCCAGTTCATTTCTGCGTAAATTTACTGTTAGGACACGCGAGGAACAATTTGCTTACTGGTTGTCATTGAGATACGAAGAGACAGCCTTATGAGACTAAAACTCGATGCATTTTAATGGAAAAGGAAGTTCTTTGATTCTAACCTCAAAGGCCTTCTATCCTGATTTTCTGATTCGTATTTCTTGGTTTTCCTCGGCTAGCAAGACACGTCGATTTTACTAATTTTGCTAAAACGACTTTTCCCTGCAGAATATTTGG